CATTTCCACCCTGCCTGAATAAAATCTGCACCTGGGATGCTGAAGGAGCTGGGCGATTCCCTGGCAACCAGAGGAAACATCTGCACCTGCAGATCTGCCACTTATGTGGTACAAGTCTCTTAATACAGTATAGGTGGATGACACACAGTGTCAGCAAAAATTAGGCCCAAAGGAAGGGACCCGCAAGGCATGGGGTGTGGAGGACAAGGTATTTTCTAGGGCTTTTATCATCTCACTAGCTTAATGATAAGAGAAAATTCCGTTGATGCAAAAACATCAAAACAGGACAGAAAGACACACAAAACAAGAATTAAGATTGCATCATCTAAGTGCTTGGAGGCCAAGCACTCAAACCATTTCCAGGCTATTTGCAGACTGCCCCTATCATGTATATGCATGTACATCTGTGGTAATATATATATACGTGTGTGTGTGTGTGTGTGTGTGTGTGTGTGTGTGTGTGTGTGTGAGTGTGTGTGTGTGTGAGCGGGAGTGAGACTATGGTAAAGAGGAAGATGTTTTGGTACTCACATTTGAGTACTAAATACATGCTACTCTAATGCCTCATTGCTCGAGTGGTGCATCGTATTCCGCTGCATAGAGAATTAGGTCTTTACTCTGTCAGATTCCAATGGTTATGGGCTCGGCCACTCAGAACTTTCTTTAGTGGGTATCTCTGTTAAGGCAATACTCAGGACTATATAATGCCTGTCAGATGCCATCCCACTGAAATACAATTCACAGTAAGTTTTAAAAGTACCAGTTTAACCAGCCTAGGAATTTTGAACAGCTTTATTAATTTTAAATCTTTTGAATGCTTATTATTAAATGGGAAAACTTTCATTATTGCCCTGCATACTTACCAGGGAATGAAACCTTTCCTTTCGTTTGAAGTGTTTTGACAGAATTTCTGAAAACAAGAAAGGAAGGGCCCCCAGGAGGAAAGCCAGCACACCAGGCAAATGCAATGCAGGCTCCCCTCCTCTCATTCTGTGAGTTCCTCCCTGAACACATCAGATTCCACACGAACCCAGACTGCACTGAAGCTCCATCTCTACAGAGTCCTTCCCCACAGAGCCCCTAAGGACAGTCAATGACTTTCACTTTCATAAGAAACTTCTGGGCCTGGAGAGATGGCTCAGTAGACCCATTGTTTATGTGTATGAACTGCTCTTTAGAAGACCTGGGTTCAGTTCTCAGCACCCACATTAGGCAGCTCACAACCACCTGTAACTCTAGCTCCAAGGGATTTGACAGTGTCTTCTGTCCTCCAAGGGCATGTGCAATTATGTGCACATACCCACATACCCGTGCAAACACATCATTAAAAAGAAATCCTTAAAAAGGGAAATGGGAAAATAGAAACTTGTACCAGTCTTCACAAGCATCTTAAAATAAATCAAATAATAATCAATAATAAAAATGATAAATCACATAACAAAACCAAACTATGGTTTTTTCCATCTCACCTTCATTTTAAAGGCAGGGCTTTCTTGGTGAAGCTTACAGAATTCAATGCTGTTCAAAGTATCTTTTATTCAATACACACCACCTTGAAATCCTGGAAGCATACATTTAATCTTGTGAGAGCCCAACATTTTGAGGCCATTGCCGAGGCTGGGACTCCTGTTGGCTCAAATGGACTATCCCCCATGCAGACAAAATCCTCAAGCTTCATAGGACTCCAGTATGAAATGGTTTATGCAGAGAAAGCTCAGATAATCACACACACACACACACACACACTCACACACACGCACGCACGCACGCACGCACGCACGCACACAGTGCAAGCTCAGTTAAGCATATACAGAGTGACTGAATAAAGATTTTAAAGAGTTTCAAAGTCAGCATGTTGTCAAGTTGCCCCCTGGTGGCAAGCCACATTCCTGGGCATACAGAACAGAAAACATGGTAAGATACAGTACCAGACAGGCTTCAAAGATCACCATCTTTTCTTGGTCAGAGTAGAATCATGGAGTGGTCAAAATAAATCTTCTATGACCCCTCCAGGCTTCCTTTCTGCTTTATGTTGTGTACTTTACCCACAGTTCGGACACACTGCTCCTCCCATGACTGATGAACAGCAAAGTTCATACCCTAGGCTTGGAGCTTTCTTCCTTGTGAACCACTTACATGCCTGACAACCTTGAACAAGTTCACACTGTAGTATAAATGACTGACACAGTTGGACCTGTTTTCTCTGTGATAGTTATTTTTTTTAAAATTATGCGTTTTAAAATATTTTTTACATATTGGTATCACATCAGTTCTAAACAATATTTCTTAGCAATAGTCTGAGAAAGAAGTGCAAGATTAAACTTCATTCCAACCTTTGGATTGGCCAAAAGGAAAAGCTATTCTAGTTACTCTCTTAAAAACAAGTCAGTTACAAGGGTCTTGTCTATGCTACAGAGAAAACACACAGCACATAATACAGCCCATCCCCACACCTAAAAGATTAAGACAGGGATGGAAGACTACACACTCTAGTTCTTCTTGGTATAATTTGCCTCATTTTAAAACTTGGATTTATTTATTTTATGCATTTGGGTATTTTGTTGCCTGTGTGCCTGTGTACCATGTGCGTGCATGGTGCCCTTAGAGGTCAGAAGACAGCATCAGATTCCCTGGAACTGGATGGTTGTGACCTACCACATCAGTGCTGGGATTCGAACTATCAGATCATCAGCAAGAGCAATTAGTACAATAAACCTCTGAGCCACCCCTCCAGCTTTCTCCTGGTATGTTTTTGAAGTGGTTCAAATTATCTATGGCAAAGATGTAGACTAGTTAACACTTGTTACATACAACTACAGTTTGAAGAATTGCTTACAGCCAATTAAAATATGCATGTCTCATCTGGGATATATATTTTGTAGTAGATTTTCTGGCAGATTTGCAAATGGAACTATTTAAATGTGCTGATCATTAGCAGTTTAAATAAATGACATTTATTTTGGCAGGGGATTAATTTTTAACGTGGCAGCTGCTCTCAGACAGACTGCTGTCAGGTCATTAGAGGGACAAACTTCGAAGGAAAGAGGCAAATATTATATTTTCAAGACCATCAAGCTTACATTTCTCTAAAGAGTGAATAATTTCATCAGTGCTCAGAGATACTGGGTCTCAAAGACTGTGTTGTGTGCATCGGTGTAACCTGATTTCAATATAACCAAAGGTGGAGAAGTAAGTGAGCTTTAACAGAGAAATTCATCAAATATACTCTTTGTATGCAAACTATGAGATTTTTACCGAGGCCCAGCAAATGTTCCCTAAGACCAGTTTGTGGTAACGAAGAGCCCTGATGATTCTTTCCAAAGAGTCCTCAGGATGCTGATTTAACTTACTTTTTTGAAACATAGCCATTTTTTAAAGACAAATCAAACAATAATCAATCTATATAATAACACAACAAAACCACACTAGACTCTTCTTCGAGGGTGGGACAAATGATTACAGAGAGTTGAACAAAGAGTTGGGATACCCATGTTCAAGTTAAAGTTCAGAAAATGTGACCAACTGGGTCTGTACCCATGAAGACCTGCCCTCAGTTTCCCCCTTTGTAGGATATTGACAGGTGATCACTAGTCTTCAGGAAAAGTTCTTGAACTGCCAAACCAATCCCAGATAGTACTGCATTTTGCCCACACAGTGTCTCTGTCTAGCGTACAGCCTGAGCACTCTGCAGTTGCTCTAGCTCTCGTTGTCCACAGTTTCACTTTATCTTAACTTTTATCTTATACAAAAGCCATGTCATCAGACACTGTAGCTCTCCAGGAGCTCGGAACTGTGACTCATGTTATGTTATTGGCTAGAGGGCCTGAGGAAATGAGAGCTGCCAGGAGAAGCCTACTGAATGTGGCTTGAACTTAGTTGCACATTTCCAGTCTACAATAAGACAAGGGATACATCAGATTTCTGTGAAATGCCATGTCCCACTAGAAGAAAACCAAAGCATACATCTACATCCCATTTCATTCTCCTCCAGAGAAAAAACTTCAGAGTATCTAAGGTTAACACTGTGGAAATGAGGATCCTGATGTCTTGTAACTACAAGAAGATGCCCCCAGTATTCATATTTTGGTTGAGCACGTGCTGTGTTCTAGATGGATAGGGGCATGAAGTTTCTGTGTTCTATTGTGTAGTAGTTAGTTGTAATTAGAATAGTGCTGCCCACTTCAAAAAGCTAGAAGGGTTCTCAAACGTCTGTGAGGGAGCATAAGTGTGTAGGTGTATGTATGCCTACACCTGTGTGCTGTGCATGGAGAGGTCAGGTCAATCTTAGGTATCATTTTTCAGTAGCCTTGATTCTTGCAACAGGGTCAGTCACTGGCTTGGAAATTGCCAGGAAGGCTAGGCTGGCTGGCCTGTGAGGCCCAGGATCCTCCCCAGAGCTGGGATTACAAACCTGGATCAACCATGACTGGCTTTTCATGTGGGCTCTGGAAGACTGACTCGGGTCTTTATGCTTTCGAGGCAGGTACTGTAATTACCAACTGAGCTATCACTTCAGGCCCTCTGACACTTTTTACCTTGAAAATATGATGTTTTAACAGATAAATATGTTTATCCTGATTTAAACATTGTGTATGTGGGCACATATAAAAGTATTACATGGAACTCCTTTCATATGTAGAGTTGGAATGTTTTTATGTATCAGTAAAAAATGAACCAAAAGAATTAGTAGATGCAAAAGGGTAATAAGTTTGCCAAAACTAAACTATAACCCAAAACATAAACCTTATCTATTTCCCAAGAATAAGATAGAAGAGTAAATTTAAAGGCAAAAAAATTCAATATCATTTTTAAATGGGCAACCAAATATCATGGGTGAATTCACTAAGCAATTCTTATTTGATGCCTTAGATCCAAATAATGTTTTTCAGTTCTCTTTGTGTCACATAAATCACAAACACAAATGCCTCTGAGAATTGTCCCTTGCAAAATTGAGAACAAGGGGTCAGACATGGATTCACAACACAATGAAGAAGCCATACCTTGAAATCATACGTGGCATCCGGGTTCTCATCACAGGCAATGACTTCTGGTGCCATCCAGTAGGGGGTCCCAATGAATGTGTTCCTCCTGCCCACCGTTCGGTCAAGCTGGGCACTCACTCCGAAGTCCACTAATGAAGAGAAGACAATTGAATAAATTAGAACCTAAGGTTGGATGTGAAAATAAATGGATGTGTATTCCTTATGTGTGTGAATATATATATATATATATATATATATATATATATATAT